CATGAGAGGGGTGAGGGTCAGAGGGAGAAGCAGACTCCCTGCTGAGCAGGGAACCCAATGCGGGACTCGATCCAGGGACTCCAGGATCATGACCTGAGCCAAAGGCACGCTTAACCAACTGAGCCACCCAGGCGCCCCCCTAGCCCTATTTAGACTTCATCTGAGGGCTGTTGCGGGCATAAGACGTGCCTGATGATCTGAGGCCTACAGTCCACGTTAACTTATTGGGCACTTCACTTTATAGAAAAAGGAACTCAGTAGTGATCATCTTTATTATAGCCCTCAAATTAATATTTCAACCACTCCCACACGCAAGCATTCTTTCTTCCATATAGTGCTGTAATTAATGTGTAATTTTCCACTTTATACTAAATTTGATCTCTCACACACATTTCCATGTTTTGATATAATATATACAATCTTACAAACGCCAGTGTTTACCTCACAGAATGTGGAGGCCCTGGACCCACGAGGTCGAACCTTACTGCACCTTGCTGTTTCTTTGGGACATTTGGAATCTGCTAGAGTCTTGCTGCGACATAAAGCAGATGTTACAAAAGAAAATCGTGAGGGATGGACAGGCAAGTATGCTTTTAAAATATCTGAAAGCCTTTTGTTTCAGTATCTCTTTCTGAATAAAGGCCAGTCTCAATGATAATTGTCCTCAAGTTATCTTTATCTTAAGACTCTTTCTCTCCTGGGAGTAGGGGCCGGGGCGAGGAGATGCGGGCCTGCAGCACAATGGTCCGAACTGTGCCCTGGGCCAGAAGCCCTCAGTGAAGGGCGAGTCCTATCCAGAAAGCAGCTCTCAGTTCAAACCCTTCCACCACATATGAGTGTGGAGGCCAGATTCCTCCTGAGGAGTGTGATGGTAACTACAGTGAATCTCTCGGGATAGGCAAAATCAAAACGAAATTATGGCTACAAGTAGCCTTTTCCGGTGAAATCCGGGCATTTCACTTGCTTGCAAGCAATGAACTGTTGGTCAGAGTAATTCTGTTGGCTGAGCAAAGATACACCCAAGCCCTACCTGCCCGGTCCACATGTAACCACGGTTGTGTGATCACACAGGTAAAGCCTGCTCTCTGAAGACACTGTCAGGATTTCAGAACCAGTGGTAAGAGAGGGGGTTTGGGGGGAGGATGGAAGTTGGTTTGCTCTAGAGGCTACAAGCGCTGTATTTTCTCTTCACTCAGTTAAGAGCTAGCGATAGCGGTCATGGTCATAAAAGTAAGGTGGGATGTAGCCTCTCCCCCTCTTTGAAGAAAATGTTGATCTTTGATCTACAGACTCCTTTCAAACTAGCTTAGGAGTTTGTCAGAGTCTGAGACTACTGTGTGATGAAGTTTCACCTCCTTGGTTTCCAGTTTTACATGAGGCTGTGAGCACTGGTGACCCCGAGATGGTGTACACCGTTCTTCAACATCGGGACTACCACAACACATCCATGGCCCTTGAAGGAGTTCCTGAGCTGCTCCAGAAGATTCTCGAGGTATCCATAAAAATGTGGCAATGCCATAATTTGAGTTAAATGCTGACAACATAGCTGGAGACATGGTTAGACATCCACTTGTACCTTCCTAAGAGTTTAATGAATTGTAAATACAATACGTTTAGTACCAAAGAGCATTATTCCTTATCTATTAGACGGATGAGGTCTTTCACCGATTACGTTTCTATGTCACTAGACCTATCCTTTTAAGTGCTGCTTAAAAATTATAACTTAAGACAAATGGACATCAAACAATTTGTCTAGGTGCCTGTTTTCTTAACAGTGGCCTTCTGAACATAGGTCTTTTTTTTTTTTTTTTTTTGGTTAAAGATTTTTATTTATTTATTTGAGAGAGAGAGAGCATGAGAGGGGAGAGGGTCAGAGGGAGAAGCAGACTCCCTGCTGAGCAGGGACCCCGATGTGGGACTTGATCCCGGGACTCCAGGATCATGACCCGAGCTGAAGGCAGTCGCTTAACCAACTGAGCCACCCAGGCGCCCCCGTAGGTCATCTTTTTTTTTGAGAGACAGCGCACACATGCAAGTGAGGGCAGGGGGGTGGGGGAGGGGCAGAGGGAGAGAGAATCTTCAGCAGGCTCCACACCCAGCGTGAAGCCTGAGACAGGGCTCAATCTCACCCAGAGATCATGACCTGAGCCGAAATCAAGAGTCGGACACTTACCCAACTGAGCCACCCAGGTGCCCCTGAGCATAGGTCATCTTGAGGAAATTGTGATGAGCATTGGTTACTGTGCAGAGATTTCCAGGGCCTGCTGAGGCTCCGAAGTGTGTATGCACCTTCTCCTTGCCACTTGTGTTGACTCTAGCTGTTAGCATTTCGTGACTTCTCATCCATTGGCTTAGTTTATTTACAGCCATTGGCTTTGGGCCAGTGAAGACAGTTATCTATCTGTGAATTAAAGTGTATGGACTCTGTGACACTTGGAGTCATTTTTATGAAAATTTACTTATGGGGTGCCTGGGTGGCTCAGTCGTTAAGCATCTGCCTTCGGCTCAGGTCATGATCCCGGGGTTCTGGGATCGAGCCCCGCATCGGGCTCCCTGCTCTGCGGGAAGCCTGCTTCTCCCTCTCCCACTCCACCTGCTTGTGTTCCCTCTCTCACTGTCTCTCTCTCTGTCAAAAAATAAATAAAATCTATAAAAAAAAAA